CCGGCAAAAGTTACATACTCGGCAAAATCACCCCATTAATTACCTATTTGGGCGGTGGCCGTATTTGGTTTCTCCAGATATTGTGGTGATTAACTTTCTATTTAATTATTGGTTTATTGCAATAGGTTATTTGAATTTCAAATATTTACTCTTGCTGATAATTGAAGCAGTTGTTATATTATAGACCGTGGTGCATAATCGATTATGCACCACGGCCCATATACGGCGCCGTTTCTTTAAATAAAGAAACGGCTCGCCGTTAGAGTTAACGGAGTCTGTTTGTTTGGTGTATTAAACACCAACTGACACTACAGTATATCCAAATCGACACTGCAGTTATATCAAAATGATACTATAGTTATAGTGAAATGAAACTGCAGTGTACATAAACTGAAACTGAATAACATTTTACATATTTGAATGTATATTGTACAATGAAGCTGTAATTATATCAAAATGATCATGTAGTTGTGTTTTAATAAAACTATAGTGTATATAAAATAAAATTAAATAACATTTTCACATATTTGAGTCTATAAAATATCGAATGAAACTATAGTTATATCGAAATGAAACTGTAGTTGTGTTCAACTGAAACTGCAGTGTATACAAAATGACACTGAATAACAAAGTTACTTTTTGTAAAAGGGTGCGAAACGGCGGAAATAAACACTGTTAATTTTCATTTAAAAAAAAAAAAGATGCGCGGTGCATAATCGATTATGCACCGCGGTGCATAATATAATTTGCCTAATTGAAGTCGAACGTACGTGGTCTGCAGGGAAGATTGACAATAGGAGTGGAAATGGGCCGAGCTGAGCCGAGCTTTGAAAAATTAGGTCTGGGCCTGTTACGAAAATCTAAGGCCTAGGTCCGAGCCTGAGCCTGTATGTAGGCTTTTTGTTAGGCTCAAGCCTGAGCCTGCAATTAGCCTGGCCTAGCCTGAAGCCTCCTTAAAAGCCTGTTTAATATTTAGGTCATTAAAAATGTTTCAAAGCAAGTCCTACCTTGAGTTTATTAAAGCCTATATGTTAAGACTTTTTAAAAACTTTAGTATATTTAAATAATATAAGAAATGTACCTAATACAAAATAATACATAATTACATAAGTATATCATCACCACAATGCAAACATAATAGCAAATAAATATAAAATAAAACAAAACAAGTCACGACTTCAGCATGGTCGTTAACTTGTTTAGAAATAAATTCAATTGTATTATTGTTTGTTATCCTATATAATATTGTAAATAATTAACAATCAACTCACATATTTAAGTTGTGACATTTCATTAAATATTATGATAGTAAGAACAGTTAATAAAAAAAAATTACACAATAAGAACACTCATAGTAGGATTAACAGCAATGTTTATAGTTGAGTCATAATTTATAATGAAATTTTGGAGGTGCAGGGTTAGGGTTTGGTAATTATATATACTTGGGGTTATATTCTAAATAATATATATTTATATATAGGCTAGGCCTGTAGGCCTGAAGGCTGAGCCTGGTATATATAGGCCTGGCCTGTTTAGTTTAATAGGCTTTGAAATTGGCTCAAGCCTGACCTTTTTACTAAACGAGCTAGGCCTAACTAGGCTTTAATTAGGCCTGGACATAGGCCCCTACAAGCGCAAATTATGCTGTGCAACCGAATGCACCTTGCAAGGTGCATACGGTTGCAAAACGGCGCCGTTTTGGTTAAAAAAACGCGCGTCCCACTTAAAGAAGAAATCAGGTTCGATTCTCGGCAATAGCATTTTTATATATCCAGAAATTCATAACTATATAACCACAATTTCATAACTATATATCCACAATTTCATAACTATATATACACAGTGAATGAATGAAGTAAAAATCCACAATGAATGAATGAATGAAGTAAAAATCCACAATGAATGAATGAATGAAGTAAAAATCCACAATGAATGAACTAAATATCCACAATATATGATTGAACTAAATATCCACAATGAATGAACTAAATATCCATAAATTCATAACTATATAACCACAATTTCATAACTATATATCCACAATTTCATAACTATATATCCACAGTGAATGAATGAAGTAAAAAAGCCACAATGAATGAATGAATGAAGTAAAAATCCACAATGAATGAATGAATGAAGTAAAAATCCACAATGAATGAACTAAATATCCACAATATATGATTGAACTAAATATCCACAATGAATGAACTAAATATCCATAAATTCATAACTATATAACCACAATTTCATAACTATATATCCACAATAATGCTATTGCTGAGAGTCGAACTTGATTTTTTTTTTAAAGTGGGACGCGCGTTTTTAATCAAAACGACGTCGTTTTGAACCGTATGCACCATGCGCATGGTACATTCGGTTGCACAGCATAACTATTGCCCTACAAGGGGCTTGGCCTATTCCCACCCCTAATTGACAAAATGGGTTACTGACTTGGACCGGTTTGACCCGATTACATGTGGGCTGACCCGTGACATGGCTCCATGGTTTATTGCTTTTCAGTCACGTTGTTTTTTTTAAGTGGTCTTTGTGTTTGGTTGGGCCGAGATGGCTTTGGTCCTGGGTTCAACCCTCAACATTGCTGGGGAGTTAAATTTTATTCTGTGCTTATTGGTCTTTGCTGATCACGTTGGTAGGATGGATTAATCATGGAAGCAAATTATATTGTGCACTATGCATAATCGATTATGTATCGCGCATCAAAACGACGTCGTTTTGTTTAATAAAAAGAAACGGCATTTGTTTTTCGCCGTTCCACACCCTTCCACAAAAAATAACCATGTTATTCAGTTTCATTTTGTATACACTACAAATTTAGTTCAACACAACTACAGTTTCATTTCGAAATAACTACAGTTTCATTCGATATTTATAGACTCAAATATGTGAAAATGTTATTTAATTTTATTTTATATACACTATAGTTTTATTAAAACACAACTACTACATGATCATTTTGATATAATTACAGCTTCATTGTACAATATTTACTCAAATATGTGAAATGTTATTCAGTTTCATTTTTATATACACTGCAGTTTCATTTCACAACTACAGTATCATTTTGATATAACTGCAGTTTCATTTGATAGTATAAAAATAATACGTGAAACACTGTCAGTTTTGATGTACTGTAGTGTCAGTTGGTGTTTAATACACCAAACATGCGGACTTCGTTAATGATAACGGCGAGTCGTTTCTTTACTTAAAAAAACAACGCCGTTTTTTGTATGCACCGCGGTCTACGATATAACGACTGAATCATGGATGCTTTCTTTTTATTCCCTACAGAATTGTTGTTTTACTTAGACTAGGATTGATTTCAAATTTCTCATTTTAAATGCCCCAGTGTTACATGTAGTTGGACTTTTGATTTAATTTACATTCCCGATTTAAGGAGTTGATCAACCATGCTTCACCTGTGAGAAAAGGGGAGTGTGTGATGTTAAGAACACTAAGTGTTTGATGAAATGCCTCTTAGACATTCTTGAGTCATGAGAATGTCCTTGAATGTTCTAGGAGCGTGGGATGACCTTGAGAAAGGCTTCCCTATCATTATATAACATCTATCATCTTTTGACCCCCAATTTGGTTTCGCTATCTTGACCTACCTTTAATTTCTATAAACTTATCATTTGTTTTCATTATAGTGTGTTGTTTGATATTGTGTTTGTATCTAAATCAACGAGTGAATTCCATTTTTGGTCCTACTGTTATAGGGGCGTTTCCAATTTCAGTCCACTTTAATTTTTTTTGCCACTTTACAACCACTGTTATTGAATGTGTTCCACTTTTAGTCCACCGTTAATATTTCCGTCAAGAGGCCGTATAATCAAAGGGTATTTTGGTCTTTTTATGTTTGTCTCTTCTCTTTTAATCCAGGCGCTTCGTCCTCCTCCTCCGATATTTGAAGATGGCTCTTCGAACAACGAGAATGGGAAGCCAAAGCTACATCATTTCTTTCGTTCCAACATGGGCCGACGAGGTTTCTTAGGTTTTAGGTTTAATATTTTCATTTCTTTAGTCAAACATAGTCTTGGATGAGAAGAAATGTCAAAATACCCCTAGATTACACGGCCTCTTGATGGAAATACTAACGGTGGGACTAAAAGTGGAACACATTCAATAATAGTGGTTATAAAGTGGCAAAAAAAAATTAAGGTGGACTAAAATTGGAAACGCCCCTATAACAGTAGGACCAAAAATGGAATTCACTCCTAAATCAACCATTCGATTTGGCTAGATTTCCATGAGGAACATTAGTATCTTATGCTTGGAACACTAAAGCTCTACTCCTATCGCCAATCCTTGTGAGATCGATATTTGGTGTAAGGATACCCTCTTATACATTCACTCACCCAAAAGACTACTTCATCAATAGTAGTGATTGATCTCTTTTGCTTATTTTCTTTAATATTTTTAATTAATTTTAAATATAATCTTTTGTTTTAATAATAATTTTAAAGCGTAGTTTCTAAATATATAAATTTTATATACTAATACTACACTTAATGTTATGAAAAATTGAATTAAAAATAATTTCAATTAAACATCCTTATGCGAATAGACATATAAATTAGACGAAGAGAGTGATAATAATTATTTACTCCCTATTATATTTCAAAATATTAGTATTAAACGCGTTATTATTATCCTATTATTCTTCCCCAAAAGATTCAACCTTTGTGGAAGAATAAAAAGTTAATCATATCTTGTAAATGATAGTGCTCAGACACAATCATTGAATCATAGACCAAAACAATAGCTTTACTTTTGCTTTTCTCTTTTGGCTCTATTTTCTCAAAAGTAAAGTTGCAGTTTTCTTCATCTGCAATAATTGGATCTTCATTTTCCATACCATCCATCATCTCTCATTTTTTCTGACCTGAACTGCACAATTTCAGCTTTCTCCTCTCTCTGCTAAACCAAACCAAATCAACCCATCTTACCTCGATCTTCTACAGCATCACTACTTACTAGTTATGGCTTTTGCCGCTGTAACCATTTTAATGGATACACTTCACCAACACTTCCTTCAACCCACACCTCGTTTCCCTCTCCGCAACAAAACAAAGGTCAAATTACTTTACAAAAATCTGTCTTCTTTGCAAACCTCTCTCGAACAAGATTTCAAAGCGGGGGAGTGTGACGAAGCAGCGAAAGCATTGGAAGCAGAAATGAGAGATGTCTCAGTTGAACTAAGGTTCCAAATAGAACACGAATTGAGATTGTTTTACCTGGGGAATTCCATGAAGCTTAGGCTTCACTCTGCTCAAAACTACCTTCCTCCAATCTTGAATCGAGAAATCAACGCCCTAGACCCTCTGGGTGATTTCTCCTTTTATATGAACCCGTCGGAATTTATGGCGGAGGAGTTGAACCCGTCGCAATTATGCCTGCTGGTTCAAACCATACAAACTATGAAATTCCGTTGTGTATATAAGCATTTCTGTTCTAGGTTGGATATCCTACTGAAGCACTTCGCGCTGCCGGTATCGCGCATGCCGCCTCATATACGGAAAAGGTTGGAAACTTTTTGCGCACAACATGTTGATTGTTTCCGTCATGGTCCACAGATTATCCAAGGCGAACAAGAAAGCGAGGACGAGGATGAACAAAAGACAGATGATGATGAAGAACAAGAGAGCTGCAAGGATGAGGATGAAGAACAGGATAGCAAGAATAATAAACAAAAACACCCATGGTATATGTTGTGTAAAGAAGCAACAAGTATAATCAGGCAAGAATTGAGAGCTCCGTCTTATCTCAATAAATACATGAAGCAACGAATACAGGCTCGACATAAGATTCATCAAATTTTCAAGCAAGGAATTAAGCTCACATCTTACATCAAGAAAGAGCTGTACTTGTTGAAGGTTAAGAATGTTGCATACCCCCAATCACTAAACAATAATGCTGCTTCTTTTAGAGTTGGTGTTCCATTGCATTTGCAGCATACTTCAGCTTCAGAGCATACAATCAGTATGGTGGGCTGCAATGATGAGCTCAACACCATAATGGACAGCCTGAACCAGCAATCCTCAAAACGAGAAATTGTCTCAATCGTGGGGATGGGTGGCATCGGTAAGACCACCTTAGCTAGAAGGATTTATGGAGATGCTTCATTCATTTCTCGCTTTGATTGTCGAGCTTGGGTTACTATCTCACAGGACTATAATCCAACAAAAGTTTTCCAAGGCCTTCTTCATTCTCTTGGCCAAAGGGTCTATGTCAACAATGAAACTAGCAACGACGAATTGGCCGAGAAAGTATACCGATGTCTAAAACATCAAAGGTATATGATCATAATAGATGACATATGGAGAACAAAGGTTTGGGATGATTTAGTGAAAAGTTTTCCAGATGACAGCAATGGAAGTCGAATATTGTTGACCACTCGACTAAAAAATGTGGCGGAATATGCTGGTTCAGGTAGTAATTTTTGTCATAACAAGAGTTTTTTGAATTCAAATCAAAGTTGGAAACTTTTTTGCAAGAAGGTGTTGTCCGAGAGAATTTTGTCTGCTGAATTTGAAAAAATTGCTAGAGCAATAGTAGACAAGTGCAAAGGATTACCTCTTGCAATTATTGTGGCCGCTGGACTCCTCTCAAATTCCAACCAAACTATTCATGAATGGGAGCATATTGCAAAAAATGTTCATACATTGAGTTTAGATCATTCTAATCAGCAGTGTGAGAACATCATTGATTTGAGTTACACCTTCTTACCTCATCATCTTAAACTCTGCTTTTTGTCATTTGGGTGTTTTCCGGAAGACTATGAGGCTCATGAAGATGAGATTGTTGGCTTTTGGGTTTCGGAGGGGTTTCTAAAGGTTTTGAAGTCTAAGAGTATGGAAGACGTGGCAAGGGAATCCTTACAGGATCTTGTAGATAGAAATCTTGTTTTAATCTGTGAAGAAGGAAATACAAAAGGTGGATTATTAAAAGCCGCATATCAAATGCATGATATCTTGCGTGAATTGGCCTTGAGAGAAGCCCGGAAAGAGAAGCTATTATGTTCTAAGGAGGGTAATGGCATAGGTTTGAGATTTAAAAGAAGTCAACCAATGAAATCAAGAATTTGTAGGTACAAGTGTTTACCTCATTCTAGCAAGACCTCTTTATTTATTGATGTACAAAATGCCCCCCCAAGGCTGGTGCATATGCATTTAAAGTTTTTAAGGGTATTGGTGCTACGTGATCTCTCATCCAATATTTTATTAGAAATGGTGATTGCGGGTCTAGTGCATTTGAGATGGCTAAAAATTACTGGTAGGTTGAATATTTATTCTCTACCTTTGTTCATGTTGTGGAATCTGCAGACACTAGAACTTCATTGTTATTCACCGTGTGAATCCCTTGATATTTGGAGATTACCTCAATTAAGGAAAGTTTCTAATAGGTATACCTTTACACTAGTTCCTCCAAGATCAATTCATCATAATTTGGAGAGCATTGGACGTTTGGATTATAGGAGTTGTACAAAGGAGTTGTTCATGAGAATTCCAAATCTAAGGACATTGGAAATTAGTGATGATATGAACATTTGTCTGGGGGGTGGCGCATCCAACTGGTTCGAAAGCCTTGTCTATTTATATAAATTGAAAGAACTAATGGTTTATAACAAACGCCTTGATTCCGAGTTTAGAACATTTCATTCTTTGGGGATATTGAGCCTAGATAAATTTTTGCCAAATCTTATGAAGTTGGATCTCGTCCGTACACATTTAGAATGGAATGATGTGGATCTTATTGGTACATTGTCTAAGCTTGAGGTACTCACATTGGGAGGTGGGGCTGTTGATGGGCAAAAATGGGAACCTAGAGATGGAGGATTTCGTCGATTAAAAGTCTTGGCTATGGTTGGTTGTAATCTACATTATTGGAAAGTCACTAGTGATCATTTTCCAGTGCTCGAATGTCTACAATTACATGACATGGGCTACGAGGGGTTAACAGAGATTCCTAGTAGTTTTGCAGACAAAGTTACTCTCAAAGCAATCAAGTTAATTCGATGTTCATACCAACTTATATCCTCTGCCAAGCATATTCAAGAAGAGCAATTAGAGTACGGGAACGACACATTAGTTGTTAATATTGTAAGGTATAATTTCTAGGTATCTTTATCTACTAAAAAAAGAGAAGTTGAAATTAAGATTATAATTTTGTTTTTTTCTAATCCTTAATTATAATACAAATTTATTTCAATTTCTATGATTAATTTCTAAATCATAGATGATGATGTTTTGTTTTCCAGCAATGAGGATGCCTAGAGTGGGTTGTTCAGGAGAATCTTTCCCTTAATACTTTCATAATGGGTAAGTTTTGTTTTTAAAAGCTTTCCTCTCTCATGTTCTTTTCTCTCTTAGATCTACTTTTCCTCTCATTTAATATTCTTTCTTCGAGATCTAATGACTTCTCTTCTACAACACACGTACCCGCCTTTAGAGCATGAAGAGCCACATAGCACAACCACCAGTGTTGCCGTAGATTCCCACAACGCCGCACTCTTTCTGGGGATGGTCATCAAAATAAGAAGCGAAAGAATGGTCAGTATTTTTTATTTTTAAAATAAGAAGCAAAAGAATCATCAAAATAATGCATTTAATTTTTATTTATTTTTTTTGTTTGTATTTTAGACTACTTGTTGTGTATTTTGATTTAGTTTGTGTACTATGTATTTTGATTTTAGTTTGTGTAGTGTGTATTTTGAGTTAGTTTGTGTATTGTTTGATTTTAGTTTGTGTAGTGTGTATTTTGATTTAGTTTGTGTATTGTTTGATTTTAGTTTGTGTAGTGTGTGTTTTGATTTAGTTTGTGAAAGAATGGTCAGACATTGCATTGTATTATTTTTTTTCTTTAATTTCTTGTGTATTGTTTTTCATTTTTGATGACTAGTGTATATATGCATATTTTGGTTTTTCTTTTTTTTTTTTTTAATATTTGGCATTTTGCTTCGTATATCAATAATCGTTATGCGTACACAGCATTGTGCGCTTCGCGCCTCGCAAAACGACATCATTTTGTTAAGTTGTGTAGGAAGCAAGGACGGAGCCAAATGGGGGCTGCTGCCCCTCTTAGGGAACAAGAAGCACGTGACATATCAGCTCACCATTCAATAACCAATTCTGTTAAGAGTGGTTAATTAGTTTTGTTAGTACTGCTTTTGTATCTTTTCCTTTCCCGCTTTCTTTCTGCTTCCTATACATATATAAGCTTCGTGCTTCTTCTGGTAATAAGTGGTTGAATACACTTTTCATAACTCCCTTTCCATAAGCTTTGTCTTCTCCATCTCCTCATTGCAACATGGTATCAGAGCTCTAGTGAGGAGTCTACAGAAGAGTTACCATGGCTACGACAGCTTGGCCGTCGATTGGTGCACGGACAACACCGAATGATAATGCAATAGGAGGACTAGCCAGTGGAAGCCCAGCACCGGCGCCGGCATCTACATCTGCTACTTTGCCTAACGCAACAGAGGTATCCTTAGATTCACAATCACAATCAAATCCTTATTTTATGCATGCGAATGAGAGTCCAGCTTTGGAGCTTGTATCTACTCCACTGGATGGTCCGAACTACCATCCATGGGCTAGGGCTGTAACAATGGCGTTGTCGTGCAAAAATAAACTCGCGTTTGTGGATGGATCCATTATCAAGCCTTCCAGAGATGATCAGAGGTATCCATACTGGGAGCGATGTAATAATATGGTAGTAACTTGGTTGATTCGTTCTCTGTCACCGACGATCGGCCGGAGCGTGCTCTGGATTGATACGGCCTATGGAGTCTGGAGAGATCTAGAAAAGAGGTTTAGCCAACAAGACCTCTTTCGTATTGCAGAGATTAAATGTGAGATCTATCAATCCAAGCAACGTGACAGTTCATTGAATGAATATTTCACCCAGCAGAAGCTGTTATGGGACGAATTACAGATACTTAGGCCTCCTATGTCCTGTGATTGTGGTTCTAGATGTGAATGTGGAAAGAAGATAGACGCGATCAATGAACAAATGGAAAAGGATAAGCTATCCATATTCCTGATCGGATTACACGACAGATATACCGGTGCTAGAAATCAAATTATGCTGATGAAGCTATTGCCAGAAGTCAGTGAAGCTTATTCTATGATAGCACAACAAGAGAGACAATTCCATATCAATTCCACTGGACATGGCAGTCAATTGTTTCAAACCGGAGAGCATAATGCTGCTGGAAATGTGTTGATGTCCAGGACATATAATGGACCTCAGCAGAACTATAAAAAGTTCACAGGAGGGAACAAGAAAGCTACATGTACTTTCTGTGGTTTTACAGGGCACACAGAAGACAAATGTTATAAAAAACATGGCTATCCACCTGAGTGGAAGCCAAGAACAAGGAGCCAAGGTTTTGCTGCAAATAATACTCAAGGACCTTTGGAAATTCAACAGCCAAACTCTGATGGAGGTATATCATTTACTCAAAATGATTTTAAGAAATTCTTAGAATTTGTGCAGATTCAAAAATCAAATGAGAAAGGATTGGTGGACAACACTCCTCTTGATCAATCTACCTATACTGCACATGCTAACACCATTTCAGCTAACCAGATGGAAGGTACTGGTTCTTTCCCAAAATCTTGTAGCTATGACAAAAATATATGGATATTGGATAGTGGTGCTACCCATCATATTGTGTGCCATATGGACCTATTGTCCAACCCTAAGAAGGTTTATAACATGCATGTTAAGCTACCTAATGGACAACAAGTTGCTATCTCATACACTGGAACTGTTTATTTGTCTGATGAGTTTATTCTGCACAATACTCTGTATATTCCTGGCTTCTGCTATAATTTGATATCTATGGGAGCTTTCATTCAGACTTCTAAATGCACTATGAAATTACACACTAATCAGTGTGTCATACAGGATGCTATCCATGGCAAGATGATTGGATTGGCTAAGCTTCAAAGTGGATTATACCTCCTGACTTTTCCTGTTAATTGTTTTTCAGTGCACAATGTTGTTAGTACTGATGTAAATAAATGCACTTTGTGGCATACTAGGTTAGGGCATGCTTCATACTCTAAACTTCAATGTTTGCATAAAGTGGATTCCACTATCTCTATGAATAAAGATTTGGTTTGTGACTGCTGTCACTTTGCTAAGCAAAAAAGGCTTCCCTTCCATCCCAGTGCATCCATTTCTTGTGCCTGTTTTGATTTGCTGCATGTGGACATTTGGGGTCCATACAAAGTTCCCACCCTCCATGGACATCAATATTTTCTCACAATCTTGGATGATCATAGTAGGGCAGTATGGATTTACTTGATGAAAAAGAAGTCTGAAGCAAGAAGTCTGGTAGTGAACTTCTGCAATATGGTGGAAAACCAGTTTCAAACTCATGTTAAGAGCATCAGATCAGACAATGGCAAAGAATTTGATATGGTTGAATTCTTTAACCAGAAAGGGATACAGCATCAAACATCGTGTGCCTACACCCCACAACAAAATAGTAGAGTGGAAAGGAAGCATGTACATCTTCTATCTACTGCCAGGGCTTTAAGATTTCAAGCCAGCATGCCAGAATGTTTTTGGGGTGAGTGTGTGTTACATGCAGCCTACATAATAAATAGATTGCCATCCAGTGCCATCAGTAATCAAATACCATATCAGGTCCTCCTTCACAAAACACCACAGTATCAACATTTGAAGGTATTTGGTTGTCTGGCTTATGCTGCTACTTTGGGCCCTAAATCTAAGTTTGATGCAAGAGCAAGAAAGTGTGTCTTCCTTGGATATGCCAATGGAACCAAGGGTTACAAGTTATATGATCTTCACTCCAAAGAGGTATTTGTGTCAAGAGATGTATCTTTCCATGAGAATATATTCCCTTTTCAGTCCACTACTAACCTAGAGGGAAGGAGATTCTCTGAGATTATACTTCCAGCTATAAAGGGTACTCCACCAGAGTCCATTGATGATTCACAAGCTCAGATTGGTAGCAGTTCTGATGAATCAACTGAGCATTCCATTGAGAAAAATGTTGACAGTAGCCCTGATGATTCAGCTGAGCATTTCCCTGAGGTTATAATTGAACAGATGAGCAGCTCTTATGAACAGCCTGCTAGTTCTGCCCCCCCCCCCCACCCCATGAACCACAACAGCAGCCTACCAGAAAGTCTGCTAGACATAAACAAACTCCAACATATCTGAGATATTATGTTTGCCATAATGCAATGTTGAAGACTTCCGATCCCCTCATGACATTTCTACAAGTGTAAGCTATGATAGGTTCTCTTCATCATTTCAGGCATTTGCCATGAATATTTCTTGTCACAGTGAGCCCAAGAACTACAAAGAGGCAATGAAACATGATTGTTGGAAGGTAGCCATACAGGAAGAGATAGCTGCATTGGAAAGAAACCAGACCTGGATCTTGGTGGATCTACCACCATCAAAGAAGCCTATAGGGTGTAGATGGGTGTATAAGATTAAGCACAAGGCTGATGGCACCATTGATAGATACAAAGCAAGGCTTGTGGCTAAGGGATACACTCAAACCCTTGGGATTGACTACCTTGATACATTCAGTCCAGTGGCCAAAATGACCACCATTAGGACCTTGTTAGCTATAGCAGCAGCAAAAGACTGGCATATACACCAAATGGATGTAAACAATGCTTTTCTCAATAGAGATTTAGAAGAAGATGTGTATATGGAACTCCCTCTTGGAGTTGCAGGAACTAAAAGTGGTCAAGTCTGTAAGTTAATCAAATCCCTATATGGTTTAAAGCAGGCCAGTAGACAATGGAACACAAAACTGTGTACTGCCTTGCAGAAAATGGGATTTAAACAGTCAGTGGCAGACAACTCTCTATTTACCAAAGGCAAGGGATCATCTTTTGTGGCTCTACTTGTATATGTTGATGACATAGTAGTGACCAGTGTTGCCCCAGATTTGATCCAGCAGATAAAGTCTCAGCTTAACAACAATTTCCAGATAAAAGATCTAGGACCTTTGAAGTACTTCCTAGGTTTGGAGGTGGCAAGACAGAAGAAGGGCATTGCAGTATCACAAAGAAAATATGCCCTTGAGCTATTAGAGGAGTCAGGTTTCATTGATTCCAAGCCT